CGCAATTGGTCAGTTAGTTAAGTACCGTGGTACCTCGGGTTACAGACGCTTCAGGTTACAGACTCCGCTAACCCAGAAATAGTACCTCGGGTTAAGAACTTTGTTTCAGGATGAGAACAGAAATCGTGTTCCGGCGGCGCGGCAGCAGCGGGAGGCCCCATTAGCTAAAGTGGTGCTTCAGGTTAAGAACAGTTTCAGGTTAAGAACGGACCTCCGGAACGAATTAAGTTCTTAACCCGAGCTACCACTGTATTTTTATTTACCTACTTGATTGGGGGGGGGAAGCTGCCCTCTGCACCCCCTGGCTAGGCCCGTTCCCCCACCCACTAAAATGGTTTTTTTGGGGGGCTGCCCCCAAGTTCATTCAAATGGTGTGCGTGGGACGCATCTTGTGAACAATTACGCGATGCGTAAATTACCTGTCCTCTCCAATATTTTATTGAAGTTGGCACCTATGACTACCGTATATGTAACATGGGCAGAGCTCGTCTTATTATTGCTAATATTATTTTCCCATCACCACTACGTATGTTTAGATATCGCCCAGCCCTTTCAGAAGTCCTGCTTAGGCTCCAAAAAGGTACTTCCTTCTTCCTTCGGGGTTCTGACCTGCGGAGGTTACGGGGACAGAAGCCATCTCCCTCCTAGCAGCTCTTCTCTTTTCCCTGCTGGGCTTCTGCATCTCACTCTCTTCTCCCATAGGGCCACTTCAGCCTGAAAGCAGATCTCGCAGAGACGAAGCGCCGTCGGGTTGTTTTCCCTCGAGCCAGCGAGGAGGCGGCGGCAGGCGAACCCCCCCTCCCTCCACTTCTCGTTCACTTTCTGTCTGGATGTGAGAACAGGAAACGGACCAGGGATTTCGCCCCCCACCCAACCGCCCAGCCGAGATCTGCCCCTGGGACACGATCCAGAATGCCCGTGCTCACTCTGCGCCCCAAATCTCTCTTCCAAGGAGATAGCGCCTCCCCTTTCTCTCCCTTCTCCTCCTGGGCTCCTGCTGGCAGCCGGGCACAAATAAACTTAGTTTAGTTTCCCTTCATTTCTAAACGGAGAATTGCTGGGGGTTCATTTGCTCTTATTTATCCTCGCAAATCCTTCCCTTTTCAATCCCAGATTTCTGTATTGGATGGGGACGCGGCGGCATTACGCACCAGCGGGAGGAAATTATTTTGTACACACTCAAATGGCCTGATCTTCCTTCTTGCTTTTTTATATAGTTCAGGGCCTGGCCTTGAAAACGCGTACCTCTCTAACCCTGGCCTAAATTAAAGGGTTGATCTGCTTTTCGACTGGTTCCTAGCCCAGCATAAAGGGACAGGGATGGCTCTCCCTGAAAGTCTCTCTCTCTGTGTCTTTTGGTGGCTTTCCTGGGTTAAAGTAGATCAGGCCGAAATCCATCTGAAAGTCCAGCGACTCCTGCCCTTGAAATCCGTGGGGGATCAGAACTGTTGCTGCTTCCGCCAGGATTATAAAAGACCCTTCTGTTTTCTGGCAAAGGCAGGAGAGGCCAGCTGCAGTTTTAGTGCAGTTTGAAAATCTCCAAGATGTTATTTGAAGCAGGTGCCCACCTTGGAAGAACTGCTAAAGTTTGACAGAAAAAAGAAATATTGAGTGACTTCACTGGGAGTACTCTCACTGAAACTAATGGACCTAAATTAGCAAAGTTCATTAATTTCAATGGGTCTACTCTGAGTAAAATTTAGGTGACTGCCACCCATTGTGTGCATAAATGTTGATTCTGCTTCCCCCCCGCTCTCTTTGCTGCTGTTGTGGTGAGATTTTTTTGCTCGGGTCGAAATCCCGCTTCCTCACCCCCCAGCCCAGCCCCACATGATGACGATGACTCGGGGGCTGGTAACGGGATGTGTTGGCAACCGAGCTCCCCGCCCCTCTTAACAATTTCTTGCGCGAGTCTGTCTCTCACGAAGTTCAACAGGACTTTTCCCCGAATAAGTGCGCAGACTTTGTGCGCAAGGACGCAGCGGATCCGTTCGGTCGATTTCCAAGCGAGGAAACTGAGTCCTCAAGGACAGGAGGCGCGGAGCCTCGCATCCCTCCTCCGAGAGACAGGAGAGCTGGAAGGAGCTGTCTGGCCGGCGGGCGGCTCGCCAAAGTCCGGCTCAAACCTTTGCGGGCAAGAGAGGATTAATTGTGGAATCCAGGCCGGGGAGCTGGAGAGGAGGAGGGGGTGGAGGAAGCCTAAACCGCTTCCGGATCCTTTTAAACTCTCCGAGCCAGTTGAAAAGCGTCAGGCTCGCCCAGGGAACCTAACCACGCGCCTGTCCTGGAATTGAAAAGTGAATGTTCCAGGGCTGTGGGAGGAGAGTTCTTGGAGGCTAAGGTTCGCCCTATTTCTTGGAAGAATCGGAGCGGGGCGGCGGGCTCCTCCTCTCCAACTCTCTAGTCCGAAAAACGCCCGCACTCAATTATTATTATTATTATTATTATTATTATTTGCAAAGGGGCCAAGTGCTGCTCCACCACGCCGGTACGTTCATATAAGAGATGGGTTACCCATTCCTCCTTCCAACCCATTCTGAAAACGCTAGGAACCTCTCTCTCCAAGAAAATGCGAGGAAAGGGCCCGGAAAACCCCCTCGGTCCCAGCCCCCGTTTCCTTCCTTTTTGCGTGTGCAACAAATGGGGGGTGGTCCGACTTCGTGTCTGTGGCCAAAACTGGCTGCACGCTCAGTAAAGCCTCGGGCGATCCTGTAATCTCAGAGACTGACTCTATAGCAGAAAAGGGGATTAAAAACAATCCGTGCCAAAGTCCGCCTTCTTATTTCAACGCCTGGACGTGCTGCAGACGCCTGTCAACCTTCAAAAGGCGATATCCCCCGTACATTTAGGCCTCTGGCTGAACATAGGAAGCAAAGGCGTTAAGAGAGTCAAGATCAGGTCCGATTTTAGGCTTGTATACTCGGAAGTGCGTCCCCAAAGAGTAGGTGTTAGCCCAATGCCTTTAAGATCAGGCGGTTGGGATTCCACGCCATATGTCTTCATTCAGGTTTGGTACCTGCCTAAAAAGCAGAGACACACACACAAACATCACTCGATCGCCTTTTTGAATACTAGTCAGCCTCTATGGCTATTTAGCAGCTGTTCTGGGGAGGCGTGCAATGCTACCTCCATCCACCCTAATATACCCTCTGGTGAGCAGAGGTGAGCCATCCACTCGCTTGCTTTTTTTGCGTGAAAACCGCCGAGCGCCGTCGTTTCTTGCTCGGCTTTTGCCCTTGTGGAAGTTGCACCGCGGCTCATCTTCTTTTCAGGCTTTCCTGACCTTTCACCGACCAAAACTGACTCTAGTTCCCAAGCGGCCGGGCCACAACCAACCCACAAAGACTCTTTGCTGTCCGACAGACTGAAGCAGTTCGGGCAGGTACCTTCAGACTCCTTGGGAAGGCCCTGTCTTCCCTCTCTGTCTGTACTTTCCCGATCGACCCTCTTTCCCGTCTAATTCCCATCGCTTCCCTCTCTGACCTGCCTTGTCTTTTTCAGACGTTTGCACAGCGCCTAGTGGTTTGGCGCACAAGAACTCGGAGTCAACGATTCCCCAGCTCTGGCCGCTATGCCTAAAGTTGGTTGCAAATCCAGAACGACTTTCTCATCGCAGCCCCAGAGTCCCCCGCCCGTTTCCTTTTGAGGACTGTTTCCTTCACAGCCAAGTATTAATTTGGCGGCCCCACGTCGATTCTCCGAAGGCTCCGAGCCTAAGGGCCGCTTGCGAGGAAGTTAAGTCTTACAGCACCCAGGAAACACTTCGCTTCCGAACTCAGCGAGCTTAGCGCGCGGTTGCAAAAGGCCGGGCGAGGTTTCGCTTGACACCCTGTGCGCGCGCGCACCTGTGCGCGTGGATTCGTGTTGGCCTCGTTCAGTCGCGGTGCGGGCGAGGGAAATAAAAATAAAAAGCGGATGAGTCCCCCCTCCTCCCACCGCATTGCTTTGTCAACCTGGATGCAAACCGGTTTATGCTTCGGATAAGTTGGACATAACCCGAGGTCAATTCGCAGCCAAGCTTGAAGCGCTACTAGTCGGCCGGTTTGGCTTCGCCCGCCGTGTGGTCAGTGGTGGTCTGAAAGGCACAACGGCGAGCCTCCCCCCCCCCAAATCAGGGGTGTTAAATAGGCAGCGGAAGTCAGTGTAGAGAGAAGTCCCAGATCGCTTCCCCGGGGGCAGATTTGTGTTGCTGAATGGGTCCCCCCCCAACTGAAGTCGCCTCTCTCCCCCACTCCCGCGTCAGATAGGTATTTTTAAGAATTCGGAGGCGTGTGAACGTTTCCCATTCTATGGCGGCACCCTCTAAAACCCGTGGCTTTTAAATAAGTTCAAGGGAGGGGGGAAAGTTGCGGCTTAATCTGCGCCCTCCCCGTTTCCTTTTTGTTTCAAATGTCCAAACTGAAGCTCCAGAGGCGATTCCGATCCAATAACAGCGCTCGGGATTTAATCTTAGCGCTCGGGATTTACTTCCAGGGGTAAGATGTGTGAGCTCTATTAATAATCATAAAAATCCTGCTAACCCTCTTTTTAAAATTAATAACTCTGTAATTATAATAATTTTATGTGCTTTTTTTATAAGAAGAGGTTAATGTTGTCACAGTGTGGGGACAGGAAGGGGGAAGTCAAGCGCGATACCGCTGCTTAAACTGACACCTTCCTATTTTATTAGGAGACATTATTATTATTAGACATCTGCAGGTAGAGAATTAAAATTAAAATCGCTTTCAACAATTCAATACACTTTTTATCAGCCATCTATCTGAAAATCAGGAACATTCATCATCGGAGGCATTCTCCCTGAAAACAAGAACCCATTCAAATTTTATACAAATTATCATATTTATCATAGTCTGAAAATCTGGAGTAACGTCTCCACAAACTGTCTGCCAACTCCCTGGGGAACTGAATCGCACTTCGGAACAGCTAAAAGAGATTCTCTCTCCCTGTCTCTTCCACCCTCCTCCTCTCTCCCTTAACCCCTTTCCTGATTCCTGATACAGAAACGGAAGATGAAGATGAAGAAGAGGAGGACACGGAAATAATAGTATGGGAAAAATAGATTTCTCTCTCCCTCCGCGTCCCCCCCCCCCGTCACACATACACACAAAGAGGCAGCCACACTTCGCAAGATAAGTAGGTTTCCTCTGACGCAAAGGTTATAGGCGGTCAGGCTGGTACGCTGCATGCCTGAATTCGAGGCGCTAAGTCCCAGCTTATTGCTTTCGGAACCATTTCCCAGGTGCCAACGTAGCTTACTTTCAAGTAACCGTTTAGTGCTGGCCAATATGCTCCCTCTCTAAGCCCATGCGCAGGAGTCAATCCTGGGAACTGAGGGCAAAGTCCTCTCCCACCTCCCGTCTCCAATCACCTTCTTATATGGGCGACTTGGAATGGGAAGGGGCAACACCCGTAGATCTGCAACAGATTTCACACCCCAACATTTTCTGCGAGGAATCGGGGGGGATAAAAGAAGGCTGCTTGCCACATATTTGCAGGCTTGGACTAAGCAAGGTCTCTCTCCACGGCCCCTACTCCCCCTGCAACAAGGGGATCATCCATTGAAAGTGAAGCTGGAGAATGGATGGTGTTGCTAAGTTATTATCCCCCGAGTGTGTGTATGAATAACAGTTGAGCAGACCGGATTTTTGGAGAGAGTTTAAGAATAGCATACACCGACCAGGCAAGTCACTCTCTCCAAGGAAGGGACGGTAGAATTGCACATCACATAACTGCCTTAGTTTTCCACTTTGGAATGACTTGGCAGTCAGTCCAGAATACGCACATCCCCCTTCCCATCCCATGGCTCGTATGTAGGTCGACACACATGTAGCTAGACCGTGCTCATCTGCGCTGGAAGAGTTCTTTGTAGCTATCAGTTTGCTACTCCGACTTTGACTGGCAGTGCTTGGGAGAGCGCCAAGTGCGCTACTTTGAACCCACCCATTTAGCCACAAAGGGGCACCAAATGCAGTGAATCTTAGAGGCAGCGACATCAACCCGCGTCAATGGCAGGACAACTGGAGTCCACACGTTGTCTACTCCCTGCGAAACATACACGCGCTTCGAGAGCTTCCCTGATGAGCCTCGCAGCCAACCAACGCGTGTGGGTCCAGAAAGGAAACTCCACGGTTCCATCACCCAGTGTAGGGAAAATGTGAACGTGTGAACGGGACTATATACCCGTGCAAACGCGAGCTCATTAAGATGCGCGCAAATCGCGTCTGCTTTCTTCTTGGGCAGGCCCTGGAAAGCAGAAGTCCACACGCCAGCATCGGACCTCTGCGCACCCCACCCATTTCTCAGGATCACACTTCCAAGGGGCTGACGGAGGAAGACGGCTCGCTGACTTCTCTGACTTACTTCGTACAATGCACAAAACACACACCATTCTCTAGTCTTGCCAGCGTTCGGCTGGAACCCAATTTTGGCCTCTCCTGAAGGAGGATTCTGCGCAGGTTCAAAGCCTGCATCTGTTGCTAAAGCAACAGAAGCTGATAGATAGTGAGTGATCTGAGTTAACGGCCTTTCCCCTCCCCTCCCCACAACATGACCCCCTCCCTGTTGGAACCAGGTTTCTCCTCCCCTCCAGGCCCATCTCCTTTAGCCCCCCAAGTCACCCCAGGCCGGGAAACAGTACTTAAAAAAAAAAAAATCCAAGTGAACGAGGAGAACGTGCAGAAAACAGCAGTGTGTAGGGTTGTCTCTTGTAACTTACGCATCCTCTCTAGGCCAAGGGAAAAGGAAATGAGTGGGGCTGGTGATGGAAACCTTCCAGAAGCTTCCCAGTCACCTCTTTATCTCCACCGTAGGAGGCAACTCCTATGTGCTGGGGTCCCTTCGCCCCCCCCCAAATATTTGAGGGGACCTGCCGCCCCAAAATTGACTGGCATTTTCATTCAAATAGCGTGTGCGTTGCGTCTTGTGATCGATTATGAGGGGCTGGGCGTGACCTACGGTCCCAATATTTTATTCAAGTTGACACCCCTGAGCCCCACAATTTCACGCCACCTTGGGGGCACCTGCGGGTTGTGCGCGTCCCCTCCCCGTCACTGTGATGAGAGGCGCGCGTCCCTCTCTACGATGGAGCAAGGTGGGGATTTTTAACATAATTTCTTTCCTTTTCTCTTTTAACAAAGAGTCTCTGGACCTGTTCATCAGGAATCCTCATACTGCGGCCTTTTTACACTGGAAAGGCGAGAGAGATCTGTGGAACTCCCTGCCCATTGATGTACTACTTTCACGCCGCTTTGGAAAGCAATTCCGCTCTTTTCCAGAGCTGCTCTCAGCCTCCGGTTTGGGTTTTAGCCCCAATGGATCGGAATCCAGAATTGCAAGACTTCACGGCGCTGCTAAGGAAATCTGTCTGATCTTCGGCGAGAGGGAGGTGTTCGGCCGCAGGGGGGACCTCAGAGCGCTCCAGATTTTTCTGGATTCCGAATGTCCTCGCGACCCTACGCTCCAGAACTCCGCGCCGCCCTCCTTTGATCTGGAACCCTCCCGGCGCCTCCCTGGTCTAAGTTAGAGACCTGCGTTCCATCCTCAGGCGGCGCACCGCGGAGGGAGCCCCACAGCCGAGCGTCTCTCCCGGCCTCCTCCCCACGTGCCGGGTGGCCCCTGGACTTCACACCCTTCAGGCAGGAGCAGCGGCCGCCACGTCCCCGCAAAAAAGTAGTTCCAGCACAATGTTTGTTAACTAGGTTATCTAGGCCGTAGAAGATTTTAATGTTGAATTTTATAGCTTTACCACGCTCTACCGTCCTTGTGAATATTGTAATATTGCATTTTTTACAAGTTACTCTTCTGTTAATGTTCCAGCTAGTAACTTTTATAATCCTCCTCAATGAAATTTTTTTGTATTCTTCCGCACCGTTAACCTCAATGGCGGCACCTCAGCCCCTGGCAGGAGGCAGAGAGATGAAATGAATTCCTCTTTAATCAGAAATAATAATAATAATAAAAACACACACAAGGCTCCCTCTGCCTCTTTTATTTCAGCTTCGCTTGGAAACGGGGTGGGGTGGGGGTGGGGCTGAGGAATCCCCCCAGGTCCCCCCCCAAGGCTTCAGGGATGGGGAAGAGAGAAAGAAAGAAAATGCGTGGGTGTCTCTCCGTCTCCGTCTATTTCTACGCCCATATTTCTTATGCAGTCTGTTGGCAATGTCTTGGTTGAATGTGAATGGGAGAGAGAGAGAGAGAGAGAGAGAGAGAGAGATTTCCCCCATCACTTGAGCACCCTTCTTTGTATCTGCTGGGTGCTAAGTCTGCAGGCCCCAATCCTCCCTCCCCATCGAGGTGCCTCTCATTATCCCTTCTGTAAACCACTGGAGGCAGCCTTTTAATGCCTACCTTGAGGACGGAACTGGCCATTATAGGCTGCAGGCTTTAGTTTAGACCTCACGTTAAAGATTCGGGGACAGGTTCTGTAAGGATGTGTATACACAGCCGGACAAGATGACAAGAATCCGCCGGCAGCATACGAATCAATCTGGCTAACCTGATTCAAAAATACACACTCACACCCCGCTCACACACAAAAACAACTCTCACTACAGCCAACCAGTGACAACCAACCACACCCTAGGCCACCCTCAACCTCTCTCACCACCAACAAGTGAATAGTAAGAGAACCCACACAAGTAATGCTGACACAACCCGCCCCCCCCCTAAGTAGAAGAATAGAAGCATAACCACCCGACCCCACCCCACTCACCATTCCCCCTCTCCTTCCTTCCTTCCTTCCTTCCTTCCTTCCTTCCTTCCTTCCTTCCTTCCCTTCCTTCCTTCCTTCCTTCCTCCCTCCCTCCCTCCTTCCTTCCTTCCTTCCTTCCTTCCTTCCTTCCTTCCTTCCTTTCTTTCTTTCTTTCTTTCTTTCTTTCTTTCTTTCTTTCTTTCTTTCTTTCTTTCTTTCTTTCTTTCAACTGTTTAAACCAATTCATGAACCAAGAACCTGTACATTGACCACTAATAATGAAATATATGTTGTAGATATTTTCCCCCACATTTGTTTATGCTATTTTTGTGATATGCAAATGACATGAGAAAACTCGGTATACAGTGGTACCTCTAGATGCGAACTGGATCCATTCCGGAGCCCCGTTCCCATCTAGAAGCAAATGTAACTAGCAACGGCACGCCTGCGTACTCACGCATCACTTTTCGCTGCTTCTGCGCATGCGCGTGACGTCATTTTGAGCGTCTGCGCATGCGCAAGCGGTCCGTTACTTCTGGGTTGCCATGGAGCGCAACTTGAACGCGCTCATCCCGAAGCACATTCAACCCAAGGTATGACTACTTGTTTGTACAACATTATTCTTGTTTATAAAACCCAATTAGAAGAAAGAAAGAAACTAGGATCTATTTCATAGATATTATCTTTCCTTACATTGGTGAGTTCAGCAGAGTACAACCCTTTGTCAGCAAATATAAGGGAGCTGTTGAGAAGCTAGCTTTAGCCTTTTAATGTAAGTAATCCAGGATGCTTTACTGCAGACGGGTTCCCTGGTATTTCCGCTTTCCCCCCTCTAAAACAATAAACACACAAAACAATCTTCATATGAGTAAAGATAGATTTACTCACTCAGTTTCACAGTAGCAGTCTTCAGGCAGGTTGAAAATGTACTTCATAGAATGATCATTGAATTGTAGAGTTTGAAAGGACCCTGAAAATAAAAGGTAAAGGTAAATGACCCCTGGGCGGTTAAGTCCAGTCAAAGGCGTCTATGGGGTTGCGGCGCTCATCTTGCTTTCAAGCCAAGGGAGCCAACGTTTGTCCTCAGACAGCTTACCGGGTCATGTGGCCAGCATGACTAAACCGCTACTGGTGCAACGGGAAACCGTGACGGAAACCAGAGTGCACGGAAATGCCGTTTACCTTCCCACTGCAGTGGTACCTATTTATCTACTCGCACTGGCATGCTTTCGAACTGCTAGGTTGGCAGGAGCTGGGACAGAGCAATGGGAGCTCACACCGTCATGGGGATTCGAACCGTCGACCTTCTGATCAGCAAGCTCAAGAGGCTAAGTGGTTTTGACCACAGTGCCACCTGTGTCCCTGATTATACCTGATTATAGGTAAAGGTAAAGAGACCCCTGACCATTAGGTCCATTCGTGGATGACTGGGGTTGCGGCGCTCATATCACTTTATTGGCCGAGGAAGCCGGTGTACAGCTTCCAGGTCATGTGGCCAGCATGACTAAGCTGCTTCTAGCGAACCAGAGCAGCGCACGGAAATGCCGTTTACCTTCCTGCCAGAGTGGTACCTATTTATGTGCTTGCACTTTGACGTGCTTTCGAACTGCTAGGTTGGCAGGAGCAGGGACTGAGCAACGGGAGCTCACCCCACCGCAGGGATTTGAACCGCCAACCTTCTGATCGGCAAGCCCTAGGCTCTGTGGTTTAGACCACAGCGCCACCCGCGTCCCTTATATACCTGATTATACCTGTGTATAATCTAAGTCCAACTCCCTGCAATGCAGGAATATGCAGCTGTCCTATAGGGGGATCGAACCTGCAACCTTGGCATTATCCGCAGCATGGAGATATATATTATAGTTTAGATTAGGGCTGGAGTCTGAGCTGTCACTTGGCACATGTCCTACACTCTAGTCAATGATGAAGCATCAATGAGAAGAGCTCAGATAGCAGGGATCAGAGAAAGAAAGCAGGCCAGGGATATGACCAGCCTTATATAGGTTGCGAGCAATAGAAACTTGTGACGCCCCTAAAACACAGAAGCACAGCCTCGCAGCCACCAGTATGCCTGGGGGCCATGGGAGCAGCATTTTGTGGTTCACCTGAGGTGCCAAAATGCCTTGGACTGGCCCTGGTCTGAAGTGTTGAGGAGCAACTCAGCTTGTATCAAAGGCTGCATGCTATTGAATGTCTCCCTGAAAAAGAGATGATAGAATCACCTCCAAGCTTCCTAGACTGCCTTTTAACCTGTGCTGACATTCCCTCAGGTGCTAGACCGACACTCTTAGGGTTGCTGATGTCATTTCCTCCTCCTCTTGCATCCTTACCTTGGGAATTATTTTCTACATTATTTATTAAATTTGTTGGTTGCTTTATCTTGCCCCAGGCAACCCAAAGCAACACACAACCAAATAACTAACTAACTAACTAACTAACTAACTAACTAACCAACCCTGCACCCCCCCATAGATATATTAAAAACTAAGGGCAGGGAAAAGAAAGAAATTAGAAACTTCTCATCTTGTGTGTGCCTTTTATGCTGAGAACAAAGAGCATTCAAAACGCTACCAAACCCTTTGTCACATAAATGCAAAACTGATAACAACATCAACAACATAACAGGCTGTATGTAACTATATAAATTCTTTTTCAAATGCGATTCAAACATATCATATCAAAGTATATGGTTCTATAGACCAACTTACCATATAAACGAAACATATTGTGAGAAATTAAAGTCCAGCAGGCCTTCTGGCATTCCCTCCCTGTGAGAAGTGAAGTTACAGGGAACCAGGCAGAGGGCCTTCTTGGTAGTGGTGCCCGCCCTGTGGAACGCCCTCCCATCAGATGTCAAGGAAATAAACAACCATCTGACTTTGAGAAGACATCTGAAGGCAGCCCTGTTTAGGGAAGTTTTTAATTTTTGATGAATTATTGTGTTTTAATATTTTGCTGGAAGCTGCCCAGAGTGGCTGGGGAATATATTATTATTATTATTATTATTATTATTATTATTATTATTATTTCAACAACTTAGTTTTCTTTTCCCCCAGACTCAGAGACTCTATGTAATTACCGTATTTTTTGCTCTATAAGACTCACTTTTTCCCTCCTAAAAAGTATGGGGAAATGTGTGTGCATCTTATGGAGTGAATGCAGGCTGGGCAGCTATCCCAGAAGCCAGAACAGCAAGAGGGATTGCTGCTTTCACTGCGCAGCGATCCCTCTTGCTGTTCTGGCTTCTGGGATTCAGAATATATATATTTTTGTTTTCCTCCTCCAAAAACTAGGCATGTCTTATGGTCTGGTGCGTCTTATAGAGCGAAAAATATGGTACATTGAAGAATCAAGTGTTCTCTAGCAATAATTTAGTGTGCAGTTTAAGTTTCTGTTGATGCATTTGAACTCCAAATGTCCTCTGTATCCACACATTGATTATGGTATATCTCCAAAACTCCCTCTTCCCTCATCCACGCTATCTTCTGAACCATTGTTTAGTTTTGTAAGGCTGCAACCCTATGCGTTGTTACCTGGGAGTAAACCATGCTGAAACTTGCTTGTAAGTTAAAAGGCGCAGGATAATGCAATTAATTTTGTTTCATACTCCCCAGTTCTGTGACTGGTAGGAATTAACCAAGGCAATCTTACATGGCCAAGTCTTTCCTGAGCACAGAGTGTCGGCGAATGGTGTGGTCTTCTGTAATATCTGTTTTATTGCAGAGCTATTACTAGAGCACTGTCTCAGCCTTTAGGGCAGCCTTGCAGTCATCACACCAAAGCTCTTTCCAAAAACAAGACATTGTCTTTTCTCTCTGCCAGAATCGAAACTGCTTCTCCGTTTCCCCGTGTTTTGGAACACAGATATTTCCAGACGAAATCCTGGCCTCAGACCCTGGCAAGTAGGTGTGACCAGCAAGTCCACACACTTGAAGGGAACTGATGTTTAACTTAATGAGCCATCCGTAGTGTTTGTGGATGATCAAACTACATCAAGCCCACTGGGAGAGCTCCTTTCCATTAAACAGTATGTCTGTTCAGGCTTATTATTATTTTCCATGGGGAGGGGGGGAGGTGAGCTCACACACTGCTATGCTGGGGTATACACCAAACCAGACTTTTTCAAAAGGGAGGGAGGATGCCCATACTTCCTCTCTGTACCCATCTACCATGCCTGGAGTTCTCGGGCTTTTGCACAATTGACAACAGGGGGAACTTGTGATCTTCTGGGCAGAATGAGGTTGGGGCACCTGTGGAAAGATGATGTGGATTTGAATCTTCATGT